ATCACCAAGTGCTTTAATTTCTTGAAACCTGGAGGATGAGGTTGAAACTTGCAGAAACAACTCTAATGCCAAGGTGCGGATAGTAAAACAACAAAATTATTCCACATATTTTGTGTCATTACAGGAGGAAAAAAAATGTGTTTCTTAGGATCAGATAGATATCACAATCGACCCAATCAAAAGGAAATTGAGATCTTCATTTACCAGGAAATAGAGATTATTTCTATAGTCATTGTATTAGAGAAGTCATGCCCAAATACTTCATTTTAACTAATAGAAGAAATTGCTGGTGAACGAAATTAGAAATCTCATCACAATAGCTTGTCTTTAGAACGTATCTTCTCACTGTGCTGGTTTGTTTTCTTTCAGTGTTTGAAATATCAGTTTAGAACAATTTGGCTTCCAGTTTCCAAGAAACAGTTTTCATGAATATAAAGAGCATGCCTAACATATTTACTAGAAAAAAAGAAAAGGAAATATATCACAAAAGCAAAACCTGGTTAAGTACTTGTTTGAATATACAGATTTTCTTTCCCCCAAGTGGAACCTGAGAAACTTACTCTATACATGTGCATTACACATTTTTTAAAGGCCAGATGGAACTAACATTTATTGATTTCTGTAGAGTTAGGCATGTAATCAAGTCATTCAGCTTTGCCTAGGATTATTGCTGGAGGGAGACTGCATAGATTTCAGTTTTGATTACTATTCTCATCAACATTTATTTCTTTATTTAGATTTAATATTCTATCCTCTCCTAAATGTTCAGGGTTCTTTATTTATTTTCATCATGTATTTTCTGCATTACTACATCCTCAAAGCAGCTGAAAGTTATCCACACAGACAGACTTTATATGGACACTTTGTCCTGGTTTGTATGTAACAAAAACCAAGATGATGGATTGCTGTTGTCAAATGGTGGGTCATTGTTATGTGTAAACCCTGCACTATGGTTTAACTATGGGTTGTTAACCAAAAAAAAAAAAAAAAAAAAAAAAACCCAGAGGGCAAAACCTGCCCTGTTCTAGTATTGTAGCACAGTCCTAATACAGAGTTATAAGGTAGCACACTAAAATAAATGGTAGAAAAAGGGGCAGGACTTGAAATAAGCTTTAGTGTATACCCAATGGATTTCAAAATTTTCCTTATTCCGCATGACAGCATTCCCTGCTGCAATAATAATTGCTTTTGAAATAAAAACCTTCATTTGCAAAAACGTGTTACCAGGCAGCAAGGAGAGGATGCTATTTCAGGGTGACATGGTGGGTGGCTTTCTTAAGTATGTGGAAATAGTTGGAGGGGGTCTCTGGATTTAAAAAGAAAAAAAAATGGCAGTATTCCTCACGGGAGTAATAAAAGTGAGTAATTTGATATTACTCTTTGTCCTCTACCTCTGTTAGAGCTAGATCACAGGCAGTCACCTGTGTGTAAGCCTGGCAGGGGATGAACCAGGGGATCAATCCTGTGAAGACACAGGAAGCATCTAAACTGAACCTGTTGCATTATTCCACCCACTGCCGGGTACAGTGGGTGGCACTGCGTCCTGCTTTACAGACCTCTATTCCAAGGCATCATCCACTTGGAGGTCCAGGTCTGGTTTGCAGGTGACGGACCATAAGAAGTCAGGAAAAGAGGGGCCCTGAAGTTGGCCATCAATGGCACCTAATCAGAAGACTATCAGGAACACACTGGTCACATTCTTTCCCATTATGGTGAAATATCTTGTATTTCTATTCAAGTTATAGTAAGTCTTTCTAAACGTGCATGCAGATCGCTTTGCTCTTGTGTCTTCTTTTTTGGATTTGTGTAGGTGTTCATCCTAATCTCTTAGAACAGCGCTGTCACGCTTCAGGGCTCCTTCTAGCACTCTGTGGCTCTCCTGGAAGGCAACGGCACCTTGCTCATCCCTTTGCCCCAAGTACAGAGCATTTGCTGGCTTCCTGGCTTTTCCCTCATTCTAAAAAAATGGAAATGCTTCTCCCAAAGCTTGATAACTTGTAGTCAGAGCTTTGTGCTGGGTATTTTTGGCCCTGTTCCTTTTCCTTTTTTTCCCCACCCACCAGTGGAATATGGCAACCAGGGAATTTCTCGAAAAATGTCTCCCTTGGACTGAAAAAAGGTTCAACATCCTTGATGAAGAAGTAATGGAAGATGAGGACAAAGTTGGCTCTTTGCCTGTGATGGCCTAGCCAACCAATGCTGGGCAGGGCTGAGTCTGTTTAAGGTGACCAATTTTTTCCTCCAGCTGCGGTTCCCATCTGCAGGTAGCCCTCCCCACCCATCTGACAGCTAGCAGGACAGGCTACCAGAAGGACTGAGAAAGATTTTTTGGGTCCTGTCCTAAACTGGTCATTGGAAGTTAGGTTCTCTCCTCCTAATCTGCACTGTCAGATGGACTGGGTCAAGAACTGGCTTTTACTTGGCTTTAAAACTTCACTTTTAAACTTTTAAAAGGTTCATATTATGCTTCATCATGCTGTTATTTTATGTTGTTTTAAATTTGTGGACCATCCAGAGAGTTTGGGTTATTGTGCAGAATGGAATGTAATAAAAAGAATTCTTCTTTTGCCAATTGCCACAGTTTGGGGCCTGGTTATCTAAGGGAATGTCTTAGGCTCAGACCCTAAGCTCATCTCCTTAAAATTGGCAAAGAGGGCTGTTATGAGGAGAAGGGCCTTTTCTGTGATAGTGCCCCATCCCCAGAGAGTGGCATCAATGCTTTATTCTTTCTCATGCCAGGCCAAAACCTTTTTACTCTCCCAGTCTTTAAAAATTATAATATATTTTAATTAGTGATAGCAAGTACTGGCACTCTGGAGTTTTTAAGTATTTCATCATGTTATAACAGTTTCAACATAAATTCATATTTTTGGTTTTTTATGTGAATCATCTTGAGGTCTTATGATAATGTGACAATATATAAAACATTTGAATGAAAGGCAGGCAGGCTTAATTTTCCCCATATAAGCAAGTCACAATGTGATTCAATGTGGCCTTACAAGAGGAAGAGGCATAGCGGATGATGGTGGATATCCTGTAAAGGGAGGATTGCCCAGGAGAACTTCCTACAATTTATACTAGTCAGAGGGGACCTGGAGTAAGGGGCTGTGGTCATGACACCCCTCCAAAGTGGCTAGCAAGAATGGTAGTTCCTCTTCATGACTTTGGTAGGAAGCACAGAGCTGATAAAGCTGGGATCTGTAAGTCACCCCACAAACTACCTTGTGCCTTCATTCAGTTGGGACCAATGGTGCACACTGTATGCTTACTGTCAGTAGGACTGGACGTCATTGCATACCAAGTTCCCATTCAAAAGCCGCATACTGCAAATAGGACCAGTGGTGCACAGCAGATGCAGGATTGACTCAAAAGAGCACTGGCATGTACTACTCCCTCCCCTTCTGTGTCATCATCACTCTCTGCAGATGTGGCAAGAATATCTGAAAACTGCTGTCTGAGCTGGATACTTATGTGCAACATCAAATATGTAGTAAATTGGGCGCTGAACATCACAGCCATATCCCCCACAGCTTTTTTGCAAAGAAAAAGGAAGCGGGTTTCTTATTTTTCTGTTTTGCTTTTTTTTTTGAATTATCAATAACCTATTCCATTACAAGATGAAAAAGGACCGTCAACCATGTATTTATCCAGAACTGAGAAACAAATGACTTTCAACAAGCTGATCAGGGCAAATGGGGTGGGGGCTTTTAATAATCTCTACCGCTGTATTATTTGCGTGTCAGTTTTATGGCTGATGAAGTATACAATTTAGGCCTTAGAAACTTGCTTTCCTTAAAGAATAATGCCACTTGAGAAGGTAATGCATCATGACTTCAACAAACCTCCTCGGGAGTCTCAGGAGGCAAACACTTTTCTTTCTGTGATGCTGCAGGTTTAAATACAATGAATTGATTCCATCTCCACCCTGTGATTGAACATACCATTCAAGACGGAATCTTTGATTCCTCTTGCCTTCCACCTACAAACTGCAAGTTTATCATAGTCTACAAAATTTGTATTTTGGGAATGTTCAAGCAGTTGTGTGTTGCAATGTTATACTGTATTTTATTGTATTTGTATTCTTATGGCATCTTTTTGTATTTTGAGGAATTGTGAACTGCCCAGAGAGCTTTGGCTATTCGGTGGTATAGATATTCAATAAATACTAATAAAAAGTCCTCTTGACCCCCCACTTTTTTTTTCTTTAGCTTGATTGCAATGTAGAAGGTGATTTTCAAGAGGGCCCACAACTGGGGGCATGGCAGGGAGGGTTAACTCACCCCTCCACAGATGCTGCAGCAACCTGCCCCATTATAGACCTCCCTGCACAGCAGTTAAGCTCAGAAAGAAGCTCCTTTCATTGGTTTCACATGACATGCAGCAGGGGTTGAATTAACTGAAGAATGCATGTTATTGGAAATTATTTGGATGATAAATTAATTGGCTGACTTTGCTTCCTGTGCAATTTAATGATTCTCAAAATTTTTCTACATTCCATATATAGGTGTAGATCAATGCATGCACATTCTGCTCAGATTTGTTTCCCAGGGGTTCAGACCCCAAATCATTCAAGTGGCAACCAGCATCCCAGCTTGCAGTCCTCCTTAAATGTTCAACACACATTGACTTACACACCCTCCTCTATCCCCAGTAATGGATTTCTTGGCAGAGGAAATGTATTACTTCAGTAATTAGAATTAGCTCTTTGTTTTCAGGCAAAATGCAATTTCCCCTTGTGAGTGTATTGGCTGATAGGATGGTGTCTACAACTACACAGTAAACTAGGAGTAAATAATTGCCACATTGCAGGCACCTCTTTTGCCAGCATTATCTGGAACAGGGGTTTACATAATCCTTCATCACAGGGTATGTTGGCTTGGGCTGAGGGGACTTGTAGGCTAAGACATATGGAGGGACACAAGCACTCACCTCTGATGTAGCAAGTATCTTACAAAGAAGGAAAATGGCATCTCACCAGTCGTACAGAAAGCCTTACTTACTGAGGTTCCATTTGAGGCCAGTCGTGGTAACACAGTCGCAAGCGCTCCCAACAGGGATGAGGCCGCACCACTTGCCTTCTAGTCCTGTGCTGACATGCAGTTTGTGCTTTCCCTGCAACACAGAAGGAACTTTGATTTGGTTTGCCCTGAACAGGAAGCACAACATTAGGCAAGCAACAAGCCATTAGGCAAACCTGAGATACAGATATGAGGCAAAATTCTGAGCTGCAAAATTCTAATCCGTGCTAATGTCCATGGGAGCCAGTCCAATTGGAAGACTGAGTCTTGCTTATGTCAGTCCAAACAGAGCAGCCTTCTTCTGCCTTGTGTCCTACAGACATGTTGGGCTACAACTTGGAGCACTCCTAAACATTATCCAGGCTGACTGGGGCTGATAGGAGCTAAAGTCCAAAATACATGGAGAATTCCAACTTGGGAAAGACTGAAATATTTATTACCATTATTACATTGCATTTATATCTCACCATTCATGGACAAACTAGGCATGCACATGGCAAGCATGTCATGAGTGGCGCTGGCTGCAGCCTGGGTTCAGACGAGATGGCCCAGGAGGCCCCTTATGACTCACTCCATTTCTTTGTTTCTGTTTCTTCTTGCAAGGAACCCAAGGCAGCTTACTAAGTCCTCTGCTACTTCATTTTATCCTCACCACCGCAACCGTTTGAAGTGGGTTAGGCTGAGAGTGAGGGATTGGTTCAAAATCACCCAGCAAGTTTCATGGCTGAGTAGAGATGAAAATCCAGACCTTCCAAGTCCTCAGCCCAGCCCTATAATCACCATGCCACACTGGCTCTCAAGCAGAATGTGCTATGGGCTGATCCCAGGTGAAATCCTAATGTACTGGTTTGGGGGTATTCCCCATGAAAAATAACCTGAACTATGGATTCCTTCATCCCACTACATATTTTAGTCAGGGTGTTGTACTGGATGTCATATTAACCTTAGAAGAAGTTGCTTCAAATACCTCTTGACCATTGATAATTCTGGATATCTTTGGCCAGATCAGCTTCAGCACCAATTATGGCAGGGACAGGGAGCATCCTAAAGTCAGTCTGCAGAAGGTTTGGCACCATATGTGGGTCCCTTTCCCTGTTTTAGAGACTTGTAATTCCCATTTTATCTGCCATCTGTGGTCCCCTCCTATAAATCCCATGGGTGAGCAGTGTGAAAGAAAATCCCTTTGTTATCCAGTGGGTCTCTTCTGGAGATTTATTACAGATTCTGCTAAAAGCTCAGGCTTACAGATCTTTCTACATCTCCACCACCAACCAGATCAAAGCATTCTAAGTGTGTCAAATGAGTTCATCTAAACAGCACTTTAACATCCCCCAGGGTTTGAGAAAATATTGTTGTGTGCATGTGTATTTTTTAACACTTCTTATTTGTAGCTGCATTAGAATTTTCTCGCATTGAGCATGACTTAAAATGTGGGCAAGATAATGGTTTCTACTGTGTAGTTTAGGACTATTCCATTAGGAAGCCAATAGACTGAACCTGGCATGGAAAAGGGATGGAAATTTTGGTTTCTCCAAATTCCAATCCCAGCAGGAGGGCCTATCGGTATATACCGGGAATGCACAGTGTTTAATACTTAGGGCAGCTTGGGGACACCTTAGCTGAAATGTATGTGGGAGGCACATGCTACCTCATTCAGCTGCAGCAGAGAAAAAGGTTTATAGGGCCACTTGCTCAGCTCTACTGAGAGCTGGGTCCATTTGCCTCTTCTTTCTGCTCAGCTGTCTCTCAGGATCAGCCACTCTGTCCAGCCACAGCCAAGGAAGGTTGGAGAGCAGGGTTACCCCATCTCTTCTGCTGAGAGACCAGCCCTATTGGGCTCTTCGGTTCCCTGAACTGTGTCTATGCTCAATGCTAGCTGTAAGAACTCTACAACTTAAGATAGGGCATCTGAACATTTTTGTTTTCTTCCTCCCTCCCCTTTCCTTCTTTCCCTTTGTGCCATTTTGACTGTAATCCTGTGAGCAGACAGTCTCAATTGTTAGTTATCTCAGGTGAGTTGAGCTGAAGTGTGAGGTAAAAACACTACAGACAGCCTCTATTAGTAAGAGTTTAAACAATGCCGGGAGCCAAATTGCTTTGGCTTTCATGGGGAGGGGGGTCGCACTGGCCCCCAGGAATTTCTGGCACTATTTTTTTTTTTTGAACAGCCAACTTTCATGCCATATTGCAAGCTACTTTGAGAGTCCTTTCAATTTATAAAGTAGAGGCTGCTGTTCAACGAAAACAAAGCTGAAAGTCCCCTCAGGCTTCTAGAACCAATTTTGTGGCTCTTTAGAACTTGGCCAAGATTTCGCCTTCATTTGTTAAACAAAGTTACGAAAGACGATGCATAGTTTGAGTAGGAAGTAAACTCTATTTACTTTTCAAATAAATGTTGCAGCAGTGCTTTGCTTTGCTTTGCTTTGCTTTGCTTTGCTTTGCTTTGCTTTGCTTTGCTTTGCTTTGCTTTGCTTTCATTCATTCATTCATTCATTCATTCATTCATTCATTCATTTGGGGCATTTCTATCCTACCCTATACAAAAGTCTCAGGACAGTGATCAATACAATGGCAGCACATAAAAGTAGAATATAAATATCTAATAAAACTAAAATAAAAAACACAAATTAATCCTTAAAATACAGGGAAAATAAAAAGGTTTTGGCCTAGTACTGGAATGAATAAAGCTTCAGCACCAGGAGCACCTCTCTGAAGAACAGGTTCCAAAGCTGGGGTGCTACTGCAGAAAAGCTCCTTCTTTGGGTAGCCACTCTTCTGATCTCCTTCAAAGAGGGCTGCCAAAGAAGGACCTCAGACAAGGATCTTAGGGGACAGGCAGGTATATACAGAAGGAGATGCTCCTTCAGATACCAAGTCCCTAAACCATTTAGGACTTTATATGTCATTGTAACACCTTAAATGGGGCCGGACTTCAATTGGTAGCCAGTACAGATGATACAGGACCAGTGTTATATGAGCATCTCTACTGGTCCCTGTCAAAAGCCTGGCCAGCTGAAGTATCCCTTCTCATAAGCACACTGAGTGTTCTAGAATTTGGACATATTTATATTTTTAAGGAGGAAAAGCAGACTATAGTTTTTTGCCGTGTGTGTGTTTGGATGTTTGCTTTTCTTTGGTTTTTTAAAAGCATCTTAAAAGCCAGGCTCACTGATATTCAAAATTCCCTCCCAGTGTGGAAATTAGGCACAATCTAAGAAAGCCTGCATGCCAGTCAACCTGAGAATGCAGTTGCCATCTGCAATAAGAGCTAAAGTTGCAATTTAGCCCATGCTGACTTGGGTTGGTGGTAGTAAGCATTGCTGCATGAATTAAGACTTCTGAAAAGGCATTAGGATTATTTTATGTATATGCTACATTGCTATTCCACTTTTCACCCAAGGAACCCAAGGCAGTTTACACAGTCTGGCTATTCTCCATTTTATCTCACAACAACCCTGCAAAGTAGTTTAGGCTGAGACTCACTGACTGGTCTGAAGATACCAGTGAACTTCATGGCTAAGCAAGAATGTGAACTCTCAAGTGCTAGTCCAACACTATAATCACTATACCACACTAGCCAGGACTAGGCTGCACTTGCATGCAGTGTAACACTGTACAATGTTAGACTTGGTTATCTGGAAGTTAAGCCCCACTGTGTACAGTGGGCTTTACTCACTAGAAGTGTGCTTTCAACTGCAACATAAAAGACTGACCTATGAGCCAGCAACTTCCTCTGGCAGGGACTCACTGGGTTGCTTTCAGCAAGCTGCTGTCTCTCAGCTTCAGTCCTCTACCTCTAATTTCAAGTAAATACCAGAAGGCTGTGACAGCCTTAAGAATTCCTGATGAAGTACATGCAGAGTGTTTTGGTGGTGGGAAGTTAAGAAGGAAAATAGGAAAGCCATGGGGTGGGGGGAAATGGAACCAGAAAAGGGAGCACATCTGGTACGGGGCTAGATCAGCCTTCCCCAATGTGGTACCCACCAGATTTGATGGACTATAACTTCTATAACCTCCCAGAGTATTGTATCAACTTGGCACTAGTTGGGGAAGTCTGGGCAAGATACAGCTCAGAGAATTGATAAGGTGTATGATAAGCAGAACCCATCCATCCATCCATCCATGTTTTAAAAGAAGCTTTGTTAAGTGTGTTGCAGGCTGATCCTTCCCACAGAATCTGAGTGCTCCAGCTTCAAGGTCTATTTGACTATTGGGGTGTGTGTGTGTGTGTGTGTGTGTGTGTGTGTGTGAAATGAACTGTGACTTTGTCAGTGGCAACTTGATGTTTGAGTTTTAATGTGGCTACAGTTGAGCTACATAAATGGGAAGGTGATGGAGATATTCATGGCTTACAAACTCTGATTGTTAAAACAGGGGGCTATCCTTAGGTTTTGTGTTACTGGGCTTCCGAATGTGGGTACTGTCACCTTTCTTGCTCTCTTGAAACAAAAGCAAAGCAAAAAACAAAGCCAAGGTAGATCAAGTAGTCTCTTTTATGTTTTTGCTGCCTCCAAGGTGGATATCTTGAATAGAGCTTTAACATTTTAACTTCTGAATCTAAGTCTGACCATGCTTAATTAATGCTGCTACTGATAAAAATCATGTTATATAATGCAGCTGCATTGATTTTTATCTTATTAAAACTTTTTTTGGAAAAAAAACTTTGATCAATCAGAAAAATTGATTCAGTTCTTTTCCATTTTCATTTCATGTCTGGTGATGGAAAATAAAGATCAATTTTTAAAGTTTGGCCTTATGAGGAAAACATCCAAAGGGTTTTTCATCTAAAATAAGACTGAGCTTTTCACATTCTTTGTGAAAGAAATATAGTTCCATATATTTTCTCTTTTTTTCTCATATTAATGCACTATTTTGATTAGAAAGCCCTAAAAGACCAGTGCTTATTCATTAAATGTGGCCTCTGTGACCAGCAAAACAGTATAGAACTGATGGCTGGAAAGACAAGCCTTGCGGCAAGCGAACTAAGGATTCAGGTCCTAACTCATTTACTTCACAGTGGCATTAAATTCAGTGGGAAAATGCCTTTGGAGGTTTTCCTCAGAATAGTGTGGCTTGAATGTGATCTTTTCTAAC